TTTAAAAATGTTTGCACCAATGTCCACTCATGGTAAAGCTAATGTGCATTTCAGGTGGAACAAAAAGTGCAAGCTCATATTCCTGTCCTTGAATCATGCATTAGTGCAAGCTCCTGTGTAGGTATATCCACAATAGGATTGTGGGTTCCTGTTGGATATTGATGCCAGTGATAGTGGAATTAGGATGATGCTGTTACTAGTGCAGGATGGGGCTGAATGAGTGATAGCATACAAGAGTTTTATGCTCACAGCCACGAATGCAGAAACTACACAATGAAAAAAGAACTGCTTGCATTTGTAGTATTTATGAAGCACTATCAAAATGACGTGTATGGCAAGAAGCTCTGTGTATGGATCATGCATCACTGAAGTGGGTGACGAATCTGCAAGGGATGATCACATAATATTTTGTTGAAAAACTGACGACTGAAACCACTGTATGACCCTTGTGGTCAAGAGTGGTTTATTTCAACAAAATGTGGGGATGAATTTTTATGATGACCATTTGATAGTCACAAGCTAGGACAGTTATTTGGTCGAGGAACGTAAATGGGCTGTACGACTCTTCCTTTCCAAGCAACTGATTTATTTTTCATCGTGAAATGGCAGTATAATATTTTATGAAAACTGCATGTCCTTATCTCTCAAACATGCTCTGGCGTTTCGAGATAAAAAACTCTACTGTGTACTAATCTCTGTGTGTTCCCCCACGTGCAGTGAGGAAGTTGTGTTCTCCACAGGCACAGAAAGAGACCTGGATCTACGATTTTCAATGGAATAGGTTTTGTTTCATTGGGGCTATCTATATTTACTTTGCTGAGAAGCCAACTAAGACGAGTGGATCGACTTGTGTAAGACAAAACACTTTCCCAACAGTTTACAGTTGGTGGCAGTTCTGAACTGTAAATTCCTCTTGACTGTGGGTTATTTTATTTATCCTCAGTTGTTTTAAAAGTGTAGTGATATACAAAATAGTGACAAAACGAATATTAATTCCTGTGATGGGAATTTTGGTTGAAAGTTCTCGTTCAGTTAAATTTCAATAGGATTCATTTTTTTTCGTAAGATTCTAATCAATGCTATAAGTGTAACTACCAGTTTGGCCGACAATTTTAATTTCATTCCTTTAAGTCGCACGCTCAATCCTTTTTTGACCGCACATTTTTTCACACCTAAGGTATAAACTTTTAGCTCATAGCTCCGTCATCTCTTAACCGATTTGAGATCTAATTACAGTTTTGGACTCATGAAGACAAACTTCTTCGATTGATGTATTTGACAACGCCCAAGGTCCCATAGATTAATTTACTCAAATCCTGTCTAAAAGAATTTCAACTGAAGGGTAGGCTGGTAGAGATCTTGATGAGTAATAAAATCGAAGCTGGTATATACGCGTCCCACGCTTAGTATTGCTGGGGCACGAAAATATAACTAATAAAAAGGAAAAAAAAAGTCTCATAGATTACGTTACTCTAATCCTGCCGCGGCTATTGATGATTCTTTCTTTTTATTAGATATTATGGCTTTTTGTCCATACACACCAACAAACCACAGCAAGAAAGTGACATTCGATAGTAACCAACATTAGCTTTAGGATCACAACCCTATTATTCGGAACAGACCTATACTTTAAAAAACCAACCAGATTCTCTAAAATATATTGTGGTAGAGTTTTCCTCTCTAGCTCCCTTTATAGTAACGCCATGGAATCTAAATTAACAGTTTCTTGTCATCACCCACGTGCACCCGGTAGAGCGGTATCAAGCATCATTATTTACGCTAATTATTTTTGTTGAGTAACTTTGCACACGTAGCTCACATTCTGACCAAATTTGACACCTAATTGTAATTTGTAAAGTTCTATCTGTGTACCAAATTAGAACAAAAATCCATAAACGTTAAGTATGTTTTCCATCAAATAAAATGTCCGTACTTTCGGTGTGAAAAAGAAGAAAAAGGAAAAATTCAATGAAACTTGGAGGTTTTATATCTCGTGTATATCTTAATGGATTGTATTGAAACTTTGTATGTGAAGTAAGATTCCAGTCCAGCATATTCACGAAAAATATGTGATAGTTTGGATTACCACAGTTCGAGCTACAGAAGGTGGAAAATCGCTAAACTGTTACTCCTGTTAATAACACATAGTGTGTCCTACAGGTTGTTTTGGCCGCACGACACACTACCGTTTGTCTTCATAAATAGAAAATATACTTTAAAAACAAGAAATTTGAGACTTGAGGTCTCCGGTAAAACGTAAGCCTACTTTTTTGTATGGTGATACAACATCCACCTACGAACGCAGGTTAATAACACGTATATAATAAACAATGTCCTTAAGTATTATAATTTAACTGTAGCTACTTTTATCACTACATTGCCTTGGAATATTACTCTGAAGGAAAAGGAACACGTTTCTTCCGTTAAAGAACAGTTTGCTTTCGTAATTTCATATAAAATAATGGCTACTCTTGCAAAGCTTTAACATAAACAGAACCATGTTTTGTACTTGATACTGCTCACATAAAATAATGTGTAGAGAATATAAAGCATATTAGTATACTCATTACGGTATTAAAAGCGAAAACTACATAAAACTAAAAATGAAAAGCCCGAAAAACACCGATTTTAAGATATCTATAAAACAGCTAAAAATAAACACAGAAAAACAGAAGCCCTAAATATAATGTACTCGACACTCTGTATGTTAACAATAATGTGTTTGATAAATTGTAGATTATAAATCCTATGATTCAAAGAACCAAGTTAATGCAGTGAGCTACAGAACTTACTATTAGTATAATCCATTAACAATTTACCAGATGCCAAAAACACACTTTTCTCACACATGGTGATGATAAAAGGCGAAGTTAAACCTGAGAATTAACTGTTTGTTTGAAGTTAAGCATAAGGCTACACAATGGGCTATCTGTGCTCTGCCCACCCGGTTTCTAGCTTTGTATGTCCGAAGACATATCGCTGTGACACTGGGGGGCGAGATATATAGATATATAAATAATTCCAGTTGTAAGCTGACTTTATAGATAATGAAACATCAACAAGACTAAACGTAAAAACTAATTCTTGTTATCAGATTTTAAGTTAACTAAATTAATTTATTCATATTGTGTAGATATGATTTACAATAGCTAGAAGGTGACCCAACAACCACTGAACATGCTGAAATTGTTCTTGGCTTCCTTACTAAATAAGAACGCTATAGATAAACAAAACATTTAAAAGAGCAATTTTGGAGAGGCCGATTGTCGTAATTTTCTGTAAAATTTTTAATCCTAAAAAAAGTAACAAGAAGAGTTAAAACTTAAGTTCTGTGTTTTGTTTAACTAAATACTGAGTACTTGAGGTAACCTTTTAATAATCACGACCTGAAATAGTATTTAATTGAAAATATGATTTTATTTTTTTAGTTACAACAAACATATTAAACATATACTCATAGCAGTGGCGTTTTTAAGATATGTTTCATAAGGTGGCATAACGGGGCTAAAGCTAGTTTGGGAGGCAGAAAAAATTAGCATTTTCATGTCAATGAGAGTCACAATGTAGATAATTCAAAAGTCTTGAAATAATAAACCTCAGATGGCATTGCTGGGGTTCAGAGTTCTCCAATGGGGCCTGCCCTCATACCATTCCAGTGGACACGCCCCTAACCCCTAGATCAAAATGATTTTTTTTATTATAAATTTTAAGTAGCTTCCACTGAATCAACAAAGTACAACGCGATTGGCGCATTACTTAGGAGACAAGTAAATAGTTCCAGTGTTATTTTCAATAAAAACAACAACTAAAAACGCTGAAGGAAAGTTAAGAGAACATCCTACTTTTTTCGCTATGCAAATATTTCACATAAAAGTCGGCCAGAGTCTACAGCTCTACAGTTCTCGCGTTGTCACACCTAGTCTGCGAGATTTCCTGGTTCGAAAACTCTTTTGAATTACTTCATACTGTAGATAGTTTAAAATACACACAAAACCGTTGGACTCTTACACAGAATTAAAGTGTTTAAAAATACTTTCTGCAGCTGAATCAAAACTAAATGAATCCTCCCGTTTCTACAAATCACACTATTTTGATGTTGAATAAAGATTCCGTACTTCGTGACAAATTTAAAGAATACATACATACATATATATATATATATCAGGTGTACCATCTTTCACATTCTCATTAAATGTACTCTAAAATCACGAAAAATCAGCTAATTCAGCAGTTCGTGGGCTTATAGGGTATACTAGTCTTACCAGAAATGTAAATAGTCTCAATTACCCAGACCTACAACATATATATGTACGGTGAAATAAATAATGTTACTGAATTTTATAATTTCTTCTGTTCTTGGATTCATATTTTGTATAGTCTTCAATGGGTAAACTGACGTATATTTATTCCCCTAGATTAATAAAAATACCCCACTTGCTTTTTGTCAAGGAATTGTGTCAAAATAAACACCATTTATTTTGCAATGAGAGCCATTCTCCTGCCACTAAAAATAATTAAAAACAAAGGGAACATATATATATATATATATATAAACGTGATACCACATAATGTGTTAAACTATGATAATACCAGGAACCAGCTAAATATCACTCGGCACCTGCTTTCACGTAAAAACAACTTTTGGCAACTCACGTGAACAGTTTCTGGCAAGAAGTCATCTATAAAACTAATGTATAAAACAAACAACGAAACGAATCAATTTTTAGTTATAACAAACCGGTAACTCCAGGAACACACATTAATAAATATCAGTATAAAATTAAGTATACCTTATGATAGGAAGACCAACATTTTTATACATCCATTTTTTGTATTGTTGTTTTGTTTTTGTTTTTTTCGTGACATATTTCTGGGCCAGACACCAAGTTCTATTTTCAAAGCGCCGTGAACTAACTTTGGATGATGATATAAAAACAGTTGAAATTTTTTCCAGAAGGGAAAGTTGGCCTTAAGTCTAGCACTCGAAGGCTGACACCCGGAAATCGAGGCTGTAGCAAGTACGCGTAGGTTTTGGAACGAACAGGCGATGTAAACAAACCAATAATTTACATGGTTCTGTGTGTGAGTTGGAAGGCAGACGCGACGCAGACAGTCATTTTTGATAGACATTCGGGCTTGTCGAGAGCGTGTTTTTATAGGTGCCAGATGGCAACTCACTTTCTTTGAAACCTAGATTTCAGTGTATTGTGAAAATACAATTCTAAATACCACTGCTAAAAACCTGTATGGAAAAATCGTTATTTTCAAAAGACTAAATTGCTACAAAACATATTAAATCAATTTCTCTATCGATCGATCGTCGTGGACTTTATGGCTATGCTATTAGCGAACTTGTTAAACGGTAAATATAAAATAATCATAATACTGCAAAACTGTCCATTGTTACAAATTTTAATGAAGTGTACCGATATTTCTTGAAATCAAACAAAAGTGTAGTCTATTGTAGAATGTTGTAACATTTTTAGAGTAGTTAGTTCAAAAATTGTAAGTTATATAAGAGAATGATTATGATGGTTGAAAAGTGATTCAGAATCAGAAAAGATTTTGTGAGCCAGTGCTGTTCTAGCCTTCAGGTATTGTTTAGGCATGTTGGATTAGGCTATTATTCTTTTAGCGTAAACACCAGTTCAAAAATATAGTATAGAAAATGGTTTAATCTTCGTCAAACTAACCATATGAAAAGCTTTGAGGTAGGTCTTTGTGAACGCTTTTTGTGTAGTTGTCCCTCAATTAGAGTACTGGCTCCTGGTACTGATTCTAAGCAGTTTTTTTCCTTGGTCATTTAGCTATCTCGATTTGTAGGGAATTTTAAAAATTAATTACTGAATTAAAGGTACTTTTTTTTTTCAAGGACCACTTCTTTCAAACATTTTAGCGTTATAAAACTTTTCACTGGAGGCTGAGAAATGTGAACATCCACCGATATCTCAGTGAAAGTTAAAATATATTCTTCTGATTTTATTGTCGATTAATTTATTAAGTATACCCCGCAAGTAGCGATAAAATTTTGGTTGATATCAGATAGTACAGAACGACGAACAACATGGCAGACAGTAAAGTTAAATTAGCAAAAGTATGAGATTAAACATTTTATGTTTTGTGTGTATGGTTTTGGCAAAGAACGTTAACTTTTTTTTTTCAATAATATGGCACTTCGTGATAAAAAGCTTACTGTACATGTAAACAAACTTGTGGACTTCTAGGGTTCTAACCACTAGAGACCACTGGGGTTAAGTGCTCCAAGCAGCCCTAACCAGATCGTAAGTCCAGCCTCCAAGTTACCACGGCATAAGCGATGGCCTCACATTTTATACAGAGTGCACCAAGCTGATATAATCCTCATCTGGGTCTTTACGGAGTTGTAGACAGGCAAACATAAGAGGTAAAGTTAAGTTTAAAAGCAAATGAACTTTTAATGTTGTAAAAGGAAAGTTTAATTTAATTCATTTTAATTTAAACGTTGAATATAGTTTGGTCATGTACTCAAAATAGAGATAACGCTTATCTAAATATACACAGAATACCAGTTTCAACAATGTGTTACGAGTACAAGGCACATATATGTTTCAAGTACGATACTAGTATATTTTTGTGCTTTGATTACATTAATATGTTTCAAAAAATAATATTGGTATATTCACATGTACTTGAAATACAAGCATAATTATATTCTTCGTAGATGTATAATACACTAAAATTATACAATACTAATAGTTTACTACTAATAAAAGGGTTTAAATATATCAGCATTATACTATTAGGAGTATAAGTTCTATTGTGCATATTTTTAGAATAATATCTCATACTTTAAGTGCTCTAGAAATGTAAATCATTTACAATAAACGTATACTAATTTAGGATTCAAATTGGTCAAAGTAACACACTTTAAGTATGCTATTTGTATAATATTTTATCACAGAGTTCTTAATATCATAACTAATCATAATGCATTGCAACGAACCATAATCGTTCACGTACGTTATGCCATTCTTTCTATTCGGCACATTGGATAAAATTGTAATATTGCAAATATACTAGGTATATAATTATTTTGAGATCAAACTGTTCGGAGATGCTCAGGCATCTTGGCCTCGAGTATCTTCACATTCTACACCCCTAGGCCTACTTTCTCTCACTCTCTAGAGCTCTCAATCCTTCCTATGATGTCTGATAGGCTTGACAGATCCGCTCTGATGACATTTAGTATTATGTCTGTATAAATTCCCTGCTTAGAACATTCCACCCCTGGACTTTACTTTACTACAAACCTCTGGACTTCACGAACTCTTCCTAATACCGACCCTGGACTTCACGAACTCTGCCTATTACAGTCCTCTGGATTTCACAAACTCTGCCTACTGCCGACCCCCCGGACTCACGAAATCTACGATAATTCTTGTCGTCACCACTTCACTGCTGTTAGTACTCCCAGACCACATGTTAGTACCACATCCACCAGTGAACTGGGAAACAGAAAATATATCCTACGAAGATGACAACGAATTATCTTCATCCTCTTCATCTAATAATTCTATTTCTGTGGCACCTTAACATAAACTGCCTCATCTGATCACACAATAAGAGCTAAATGATCTAATTCGTCTCTAACAAAGCAGCATGGATAAGAATATTTTGAATAAAGCTATCATAACTCGAAACCTTGTTGCATTTTTTTCTAGCAGCAGAGATGTGTTTTTTTTTCTTGGTTACCCAATGTAATCTACTATATGCATATGTACATAGCTGCGTGCAGGACGTGGATGTAATTTAATGTTTATATGGCAGGTATGACTCATGTATCATAGCGATTATTAACTTATCGTTACAACTGTATTGATGTCGCATATCATTTGTTTATATATAGGGTGCCTGCTCCTTGGACACGACGCTGATTACAGGATCACAGTTTTTTTGTTTTTACCAGTGCATGATCGAGTTCGGCCATGTTCCACGTCTAGGCTGTCTCCCATAACAGAAATCTTTAATCAATACTTTAAAAGGTAGCACCAAGCTCGGTTTCGAGCATCAGATTGGCAATCACGGTGATGGCTGATGGTAAGCGTTGAATCATAGCCAAAACTGCGTAATTATGAATTTTAAAGATGTTGCACATTAAATAGCCATACTTGAAACTGACTATAAGGAATGGTAAGAATCGCGCAAGCAGGAGATGATGAAAATGATGGCAATTCTAGGAGAAAGTGGGGCAGAAATTTTGAAGCTAGATATTTTAGTTGGAAAATAGTTAGTTTCGGATAAAGTGTGCAGCAGTGACGGCACACCAGAATTTAGGGTGGTAGAAGTGTCACAATCCAAACTCTATTAGAAATAGAGGGGAAAAAAGGTATATTAATATAATCAGTTCATAATTGTTAATTAACACGGTTTCGACACTAAGATGAAATCTGGCTAGCTACAGCAAAACTATGACTGCCTTACTATGTCCAGCGCAAAGGACGAGGAGGAAGAGAACATGGGGAAATATAACAACTATAAGAAATATTTCAAATGCTTATTTGTATACAAATGTTATATATTACTGCACATTGTCTGATATTTGCATTGACTATATATGCATGCATCTTTACAACTTGGAAAGTTCATATGGCTAGCTATATATACGGCTTTACAACTTAAAAAACTATAAAGTCTGCATGTATATATATAGATATAAATACTAGCCAACATGCATTGCATGTGCATACATGTATAAAACTCATGCGGTTACAAAATCCAGTCCATGTACCTTTCCGGTATAGTTCAGTAGTCCTTTCAATACAGTGTTTACAGACTCCCCATATAGCTACAGGATATAAATATACTAGCTATATATACTTTGCTAGCATATACATAACATATAGTATGTTGATCTCTATGTGTCATAGTGATCATACATACAGTACCACTATCAATGATATCAGGAGCAGTAGTCATCCAATCTGCAAGAAGCCAGTCCAAAGGTTGTCATTGTTTCCCGAGAGAGCATCATACACCAACTATGTATTTCATTAAACTAAACTGTTTCAAACAGAACAGTGTTGCTATTATACAGATTTATGTCTATGATGACATAAAAAACAAGATTATTAAAAATTGTTAATTTAAAAGGGGGAATAGGGATCTTCAAAAATAAAGAAACAAGATAGCTAACTTAAAGTGAAAATGCAATCGAAAAAATAAACAAACAAGCTTAGTGTTGACATTATTTACTCAAGCTACAAATCCCTGTTTTGACTCTCCTAAATATTACAGCTTTTAGATATTGTAGTTAAAATAGGGGATTTGTAACTTGAGAAAGTAATGCAATACGATGTCTTTAACTTTAAGTCTTGTTT